AACTTGTTTGCCTGAATCTTGAGATTTGGTGAAAAATTAACGATGATATGGCTTGCCGATCAAAAACACCATCGATAAATAATATAAACTCGTCCTCTCTCGATCATAGAGACCTCAAGTCGACGAAATGAGACATGTATTCAATGACAGTACTACAATTAATGTAAAGTTGTGTGGATGCGAACCCTATGCCTTGCGTTATCTCGAAAATAATACGTTTTTGGGCCTAAAAACGAAGGATCCGATAGTTCCGGAGGAACTATCCGGGTCTTGCTGTACGCATCAAAATCTTCAAGTCCGATTTGTCCGGTATCGATCTACAGACCTACCACCGTTCCAGTATTGAAGCCTAGCAAAATGTTTGTATCGACTTTATTTATTTTAGAAAGAAAAACAAAATTGGAGAATATGATTCGTTAACCCCTCGTGCAATTCTGAACCTAACGGTACCCCATTCATGGTATTTGAGCATGACAGGAGCTTATATTTGGTACAAAACCGATTTCGAGCCTTACTGTAATAATATATGTGGGGATGAGATTATGGATAATTCCCGATTGCCATACTATGTCGAATGCTTTTTCTATGTTTAGAAGGAGCATACCCGTGTGCTTCTTTTCATTGGGCGCTTTGGTAATGTAGTCGTTCAGTCTAGCTAATTGGGCTACTGTTGAATGACCTTTTCTGGAACCGAATTGCTCGTCGCATATTAAATTATTTTGAGTTATATGATTCAATATTCTTTTTAAAAGCAGTTTTTCAAAAATATTAGATATTTTGTTAAGAAGGCTAATTGGTCTGTAGTTTCGAATGTCTGCTGGGTGTTTATTTGGTTTTGGAATGGTGATAATTTTTGCTGTTTTCCATGATGTTGGGAAATATCTGAAGCGAAAGATACTATTATAAGTTTTTGCAAGAAATAGAATTGACTTTTTGCTCAGGTCCTTGATTAGGATTGGGGTTATGGCGCCAGGACTAGATGATTTGTTAGTTTTTACTTGTTTTATAGCGTGATTCATCTCTTTGAATGAGATTGAAGAAAATGTGTTAGGTATCAGTTTTTTTAAGAAGCTATTTACAGATTTTTTTATAGTTCTATTATGATTGATGGTGCCTAAATTAACCGAAATATTGGATACTGATGAGAAATAATTAGCCATAGCTTCTGCCTTCTTTAAATTAGAATAGGTGAAGCTATTTGTCCGTTTAATTGGTGGGATATGGTGGGGTCGATTCGTAAGAATTTTATGAATCTTCCAGAACTTTTTACTACCTGGGGACAGTTTGCTTAGGGTTTCCTGCCATCTGAGATTTCTCCCTGAGGAACTATTCCGGAGGAACTATCCGGGTCTTGCTGTACGCATCAAAATCTTTAAGATCCAATTTGTCCCGTATCGATCTACAGACCTACTACCGTACCAGTATTGAAGCCTAGCAAAATGTTTGTATCGGCTTTATTTATTTTGGAAAGAAAAACAAAAATGGAGAATACAATTCGCTAACCCCCCGTAAAATTCTAAATCCAACGGTACCCTATTCATGGTATTTGAGCATGAAAGTAATAATATATGTGGGGATAAGTATTGCAGTAGAATAAAACATGATAGCAGTTTGTGAAACAACGACCCATTGATAGGACTTTGTTGGCTATTTTAATTGGCTATGGAATCCGTGAGCACCTTCTTTTGAGGTTTTATTAGATGATTTGGGTGGCCAAGGATTTGCCAATTAAAAGAAATATATCTATTTCCGTCCAAATCCACAACAAATGTAATATTGAGGTCTGTGAGGAGAATTTTATTCGTACCATAATAAGGAGCTTTAAGGGTTCTACAGAGGATTCTGTAGAACACGATGTAAGGGGTTTACGAATAAAAGTGATTTGATGGGCTTTGTAGCAAATTATTTTAATTCTTCACTTTTAACACCATTCTTCAATGGCTGTAGTCTGCCACCATAGCGATGGGTATGCGACAGTTGGGTAATTATTGACGTATGACACATAGGTGTCATCAGCGTAAGAAGAGAGGGCAGTGGGTTGGGATATCTCCTGTATAAACTGTGTAGGTAACGGAGCCTATGTTCTTTTGTGGAACACCAACGGTCTGGAAAAACAGAGATTAATATGAAAATTATTACTTACTTACTGCTGGGAGTACCGGACCTACGAGGACTTGGCTCTCCTTAAGAACTAAGGACACTTATTTCTATATTTTACTCGTTTCTAGCATCTTCGTTCTCCATGCAACTTGAGGTCCTCCTCGACGTCATCCAACCATTTCACTCTTGGTCTTTCTCTGTATTGTTCCCCTACAATTTTCCCAGTTCGAGCCATCTAGGCGGGCTTTTTTCACACAGGATACTAGGTCTGGTTTCCCATACATTTTCTCTAATTGGCCCATATATTCTCCGGAGTACTTTCCTTACCATATGAAAATTATTATTTATTTTAAAGTTCCCATCTGTGAGGTAGGAGCGGTTTAATAGTCAATATGTATGTAGAAGGAGATAGCAATCAACGGAATTTTTAAAGCAGTTCTAGATACATGACTTCGTCAAAAGCATGCTATACGTCGCGAAAGATTAGTTGGAAAAATGACTGGATCGAAATAAAGCATACATTTTTTCGAGGGGGCTGTATAAGGATTCGTGTTGTTACGGGTTAGAGACAAGAAACTTTTCAGTTCTAATTCTTTTTAAGTTTCAGGAAGCTTTTCCATGGTTAATTTTTGGTTGATCTTTATTATGTCTGGAGGATGGAACGCTTTTGGAGAAAGAGACATAAGAAAATTAATAGTTAATTCTGTTTTAATATGTTCAAGATGCATTTCATTAGGATTAGGAATGGATTTGTTTTTACACGATCCATTCTCGCAGATCTTCGTATTGTTATTCGCTAAAATCAGTATTAAAATCATGACATATAATGTTTTAAAAACAATTTTATTTCGTGTAATATAATATTATTTAAACTGTATCAATCCTTACATTCCATATCTGGGGTTGAGGACCAAACAAATACGCATAGCTTCGTTGAGATATGAAAAAAAATTATGGCTTAGCCGATTTTTACCTGCATAGAAAAAGTATATTATATTTCGTTTAGCCAAGTTTTCTGCATCTATCTGTAAATAAAAGAGGAATAAAAGTACATTTACGAATGATAATTTGTGCAGTAAATAATTAATAGATTTTTCCTATTTTAAAGTTTTATTACCTATTAAATATCTATAGTTATTTCTAAAAGTGATGTTTGTTTTTTTTTATTAAAGAATTAAATCATAAGTCCTTTCTTCATAAGTAAGGTTTTAAGACTCAGATAAGTCATTTAACTTAAGCTCAATAATAATAATAATGGTATCAAGCGGGTTATTGTGAAGCGAATGATATTAACAGAAAGGTTGGAGAGAAACTTTACACATCACTAAAATACAGACGTCTCCAAACTACGGCCCGTAAGCACCTTCAATCCGGCCCTCAAAAGTTTCTTGGATTACTTGGTAAAATTTAAAAAACTATTTTAAAAAATGAAATTTAATAAATTACTCACACACGAGGTTACTACAACATTTATTGCATGGGTATTTTCTTTTATAAATCTCATATTCATAGCTGAAGTGTCATTTATAGAACAAGATTTTTTTTTTCAGTACAAGCTATGGTCCGCGAGTGACCAATGAGGCGCCTAGCGTTGTCTTGGTGGAACAAAATACCCTTCCGATCATTCATACCTCTTCAGGATGTTATCCAAATTCGATGTCACTATATCCGTTGGAAAGCTGAATTATTCCTCTTCAAAGTCATATGAATGTTTTTTTTTTTTTTTTAATGCCTACATAAGGAACAAATAAACAATAACTCATTATAGGTTTTTACTTTTTATCTCCATTTGTAATTTGTTTACGAAGGTCCTGTTGACGTTATTTTGTGTAGTTTATGTGGCCCTAAATTTCTTGTAGATAGCTATAGTTGTATTAAAGTTATAACAGTTTTTGAGATTTTCGAAAAAAAAAAATCATGTGAGGGAACCAAACATTGAGCCTTGAAACATAGCCGAGCTGGGGTGAATGGTATTCTACGCTTGTGTGCGACACATTTAGGGCCATAGCAACCTGTCGCACTGATTGGGTGGGATTTTGATAAACAATGACCTTAACATTGCTCGTTTAAATTATATGTGGGCGACCATTAATGTTAAATGTTGAGCATCATCGTTAAAATTTCCTGAATGAAATTTGGCAAACCAATTTTGACAGGTGCGCTCGGTTAAGGCATCATCCCCATAAACACTGCAATTTTTTCTATGAGCTTCTGCAGCACGTTTACCTTTTTTAAAATAACACAAACAAATATGCCGACAATGAATGATATTTTCTTCCATATTCACAGTGCAATAGCAAACACAATACTAAGCTAGTTTCAATTAGAGTTAACATATATAGTTGTTGATATATTACAAACAATTTAAACAATCCACCTTGGGGATTAATTCATGAGATAAGAAGTGTATCATAGTGACATAAAAATAAACAGAAGAACCGAAAGGACTTATTTGCCATCCCAATAAATACAAAAAAAAAAGTTGTAAGAAATATAAAAATATGTTGATCTATAGTCGTAAAACATTTTTATTCGTATTTTTTTTTAAAATAGTTACATGTTTATCTTATTAAATTTTGTATATGCAATTGTTTTCCTCATCCCTTCTAATCAGCTGTTTAATATATCTTCTGCTGTGGAATATATTTATCCAACCGTATTTTTCCTTCACTGTGTATTTGGATGGCTTGATGAAATGTTACTTGTTTTATGTAATTTGTTATCTCTTTTTTTTTCTTTCTGCATATATGTGATCTTGGTTTTTTTTTTTTTTTTTTTTTTTTTTTTTTTTTTTTTTTTTTTTTTTTTTTTTTTTTTTTTTTTTTTTTTTTTTTTTTGGATGATGCCTGAATCGGTATAAAGTAAGCAGGTTAACCGTTATCACCTGCATGTAAGAAAGAGACTTAAGACTTTTCGGTTTGGAGTTTTCAATTTATATCCTAATTACTTTGTCTCATTTTGTGCTATATGCTCATTTATAGTAATATGTACAATACAATGTGCAATGATTGCTTACCATTTGCATGATTCCCTCAGCATTGGAAGGGTTGGCTATGGTTATGTAAACAGCGTTGCCAAAAAATGTTGTCGTTTTTTTTATGTCTTTAACTAACTGAAAAAACAATTTTTTTTATAACAAAATATAGTATTTGAGAAACTAATCTTTTTGTATTTATAATTAAAATGTATTTATGGTAATCTTAATATAAAAAAAGTGACAGTAAATTATGATCCATAAATTTGAAGGAAGAAAAAAAATCTGACGAGATCATTGGACGAGGTTTCATGAGGATTAGGCTCCAGGGTGAAGTATGCTAACATTATACCACTTTCAAAGAAAACTTTAGATATTTGATGTAACTGATATCCATCTGGAACAAAAAAAATACATGAAATAGCTATCACTAATTCAAACTGGCATCCATTCAACTTTTTCTCTTTTTTAGATTTAATGTTCATTTCTATAAAATAAATATGAAGTAGTCTCACTATATTTCAATGACTCATCCATAGATAATTTGATAGGCAAGTTAACTGTTGGTGCATGGGACACAACACCCATTTTTCATTAATAAAGCGGCCAGAAAAAGTTTACATAAATCAATAAAAATAATTCTTTCCTACATATTTGTTTTATTTAATCGCCCAATTACAACTTCAATACCGCTGTTATTAATTGTATCAAAAATATTTGCCTAACATTAAATACAAATATTAAAAATGAGCATATATGTATAAAATAAGAATTTTTTTATCTCATTTTATATAATAACTTATTTATTTATAATTGTGGGTTGATGGTTGACTGTTGTGAATAATTGAAGAGAAAGATGGTTGGGGTGATGAGTCAAAATAAAATATTAAAAATAAATAATTGTATTTATTTTCAGATTCGCCGACGTTTCGGCCAGAAGTTCAGACCTTCATCAGGGCTAAGAAAAGAACCAGATAACAATAGGTATAAGAAACGATAAGCATTGCATAATAAAGAATTAAAATAAAAAATGAAGTAGATAGAATAATAACAGTAACAGGGAACTAAGAAATAAATAATAATAACTGTAACAAAGCACGGACTAATGAAATAAACATAATCAAAATAAGATAACGTAAGAAATGAAAAAATGGTAATTTTAGATTAAAGTGTAAAACAGAGAAAAGATAAAGAAAAGAGGAATATTTTTTTATGTATTATTTTAATAGAATTTACAACTGTATTACATAGAAAATACAATAAGTAAATGTGAAATTGGTAACATGACATGTACAACATGAAGAGAAACTACCCATTGGTAGAACTCAAATTAAAGTTCTATATTAGAAGATCCCGAGGCCATCTTCTTTTCAGACGCCTCGGAGGGTTATCAGGGATCGAGGAGGAAGCAAGGTTTGAAACGAGAGGATTCGGATGGTTCTGCAGTTTGTTATGGAAGGACAGGTATCTGGATAGGGCCAAATCGGAAACATATGGAACATTAAGGTCTTTATTTTAAGGAATAATTTATTTTAATTATTTATTTTAAGGTCTTTATTTTATAGGTTTTGGGGGGCGCTTTTTATGAAAATGATATCCAATTTGAGATTGGGCCTCCCGGGCCACGACTTTTTTTAACTTTTGGGATTAAATCGATATCAGAGTCGACTTATAGGTTTTGGGGGGCGCTTTTTATGTAAATGATATCCAATCCGAAATAATTTTCATAAAAAGCGCCCCCCAAAACCTATAAGTCGACCCTGATATCGGTTTAATCCCAAAAGTTAAAAAAAGTCGAGGTCTGGGGGCCCAATTTCAAATTGGATATCATTTTCATAAAAAGCGCCCCCCAAAACCTATAAGACGACCCTGATATCGATTTAATCTGAAAAGTTTTAAAAAGTCGAGGCCCGGATGGCCCAATCCCAAATTCGATATCATTTTCATAAAAAGCGCCTCCCAAAACATAAGAGTCGACCCCGATATCGTTTTGATCCGAAAAGTTAAAAAAAGTCGAGGCCCGGGGGGGCCCAATCTCAAATTGGATAACATTTCCATAAAAAGCGCCCCCCCAAAACATATACGTGGACCCCGATATTGAATAAATCGGAAAGGTGAAAAAAAAATTAGGTTAAATAAAATAAAAACATTTTTTTTTTCAAAATTACTCATGGCGTTAAAATTTTTCATGAGTAATTTACTCATCTAGATAACATTTTTCACGAGTGATTTACTCATCAAGGAAAAATGTTTCATGAGTAATTTTCAAAATTACTCATGGCTAAGCTTCCAAGAGTGATCACTCGTGACGTCACTGCTCGACATTTACTCGAGTTAATGCCCAACACTGTGTGCGAATATATTTGTTAATGTATTAAGTTTTGCATATAAAACAATGTATGAAGTTGATAGCGAAACTGAGTCTGTTTGTTTAACAGGCTCTTGTAATCTGGATAATAGGGATTTTTTTTTTCAATTTTTTTTTCACGAGAGTACCTGCTCTATAAGAAATTCCAATATTCTCACCTACTCAGAATTTTTATTGGGGGGAAGGAGAGGGGCGATGCCCGAAGAATATAATACTATATATAAAAATAAAATGGTTTATATAGAATTTTTTTTAAATAAATAATTTAATAAATACATTTTTTTATAAATAAGAATATTCATTAATAAGATTGTGTGAAAATATTTGCATTCACTTTCGTAAATTTAAGCGTATTCATTTTAATAAACGTTAATAATGCCGTATTCACTTTTACTAGTGTAAATATAAAGGCTCGGGAATTTATAATACGTACAAACATTACAAGTGATAATTAACATAACATAATACCTTGTAACATAATTAAAATAACATATTGTAAAAGGATGAATATAATACTATATATAAAATAAAATGATATATATAGTAAATATATTTTTTTAAATAACTAGTTTAATAAATAAATTTTTTTTTAATAAATAAGTGTATTCATTAATAAGGTTGTACGAAAATATTTCCATTCACTTCTGTAAATTTAAGCGTATTCATCTCTGACTGACTGATGGTTGTTCCTGGGACCACAGGCGGATCTACGGTGGGAGGGGGGCTTTCGGGCTGAAGCCCCCCCAAAATTAAATCCTGGATCCGCTAGTAACTGAGACACCAAGTAGACCGCAAGGGATCTTCCTAATTTGCGACACATTATTTTGGTCCAGATTTCCGGCAAGACTAAAGTATACAAATATACAAGGAAAAAATATAAAAACTAAAAATATATGAAATAGATGTCTAGGAGGCTTGGAATTTTATTATTCCCATTTATCGAGGAGAATGTCAGCTATTGGTACACTGTCAGCTATTGTTGCTTTTACTCTATAGCCAAATTTATAAGGCCAACAATGAAAAATTGAGGGGTACCACCTGCATCGAAACTTATTAAATACGTTTTTACTTTTTTTTTTTTCTTAAAGTATGATATTGAACAATATTAGAACAATGGGATACGAGTTTAAATTTATCAAAAAGTATATTTTATATAGTACGTTAATCAACAATATTATTGATAATCATTACCTGTGTGATCATCAGTAATGAAGGCAACATGTTTAGTGGGAATAGCCACCATCATGTCACGCAATGCGGTAATGAACATCTCCGAACGAAAATCTCTCGTTCTTTCTCCTACTTCCAAAGCTAAAAGATAACCTGAAAATCATTTTAATGAGCTAAGTAATGTTCGTTAATTTTTATCGTTATATATATTATAATTTCATAATTTTTATAATATTTATATTTTCCATTTCTCTTTCTTCAACTATAATAATAATTATCTTTTATTTATTCTGGGATGAATCCCTTTAGAATAATTAGCAAGGACATAAATGTGTGCTTTTGCGCATCAGATATATATAAATGTATTTACAAAGTTAACTAATAGATATAATAGAGAAATTTAAAAAAAAAAAGTTATCTCCTAGATTAAATCGATCAAGAAGAAAAAAATAATAAGAACAATGAAATGAAAACAAACTAAAGATATATATAAATATTTACAGAAGTTTCTATTTTAGAGGGATTGGGTGGAAAGGAAGTGATTGAATAGGCGGGATTTAAAAGTAGGAAGAGTATTGGAACGACGGATATTGAGAGGGATGGAGTTCCAAAGGGACGAGGATCGGATAATAAAAGATTTATCGAAAGTAGCGATTCGGTGGGCCATTATATATAAATCTGAAGACCGGGAACGGGTATTGCGGGAGTGGACAAAGGATTTAAATTGAAGGAGCACGGAGATGTATGAAAGGCGGCGGGAGTGAATGACTTGGAAGAGGAAGGATGCCAGGAAATACTTACGGAAATAATTTAATAATTACGAAAAATAATAATAATTACGGAAATAATTTAATGAATGTTTTCTCAATAATTTCTTTCCCTTTACAATTGTGCATTTCAAATTTAATTATCTTGAACCGTTTTCGAGCAATTCCTTCTTATTCAATAAATAATATAACCACCGTAAGAAAAATACAAAATTGGTCTTAACTTCTTTTCCGTTTAGATCAACAGAACTTTTTTGTTGGAAATTTTGTCTAGAGCCACCTCCAAGCGTTTGGCCATTAAGAAATGAGACACCCTTTACAGGGATGTGAAAGTAAAATTCGTATGGCACATCTTCATTTAAAGCTATTAATTAACATATATTTTTCCTGACTTGTCTCATTCGTTAGTTTATTCGATTACGGAATAACACATATATATGTACTGTGTTCCTCTGCCGTAAATGCGGCAGAGAGTCTGAAACACCTGCCCATGTGCTGGGAAAATGCCCCAACAACTCCCTCCTCATAACACGTCGTCACCACCGGGTCAAGTTCGAGTTGATTAGGCTCCTTAGGGAAAGGAAATTCACCTACTTTGGCGAGGTATATATATATATATATATATATAAGGAAAAGATTCAGATTCACCTCAAGTTGTGTAAAAAAATTATATGAGTTTATACTCTGTCATCTAAAAATGCCCCTGTTTTCAGCAAAAATTACTACAATAAACTATATATATATATATATATATATATATATAGTTATATAAGCATAGTTATTTATTGCTGTTGAGTCAAACAACTAAATCTTTTTGTTTAATGAGAATCGTATGAGATACCCTTTCTATTTTTACCAGATCCCTAGGGCCACAACAATTTTAATGTTTTTAAAACGTCTAATAAGTATTTAAATATAGTAAGAGGTATATGAGCTTTTAGCATTCTATATTATTGTTTATTTAAGTTGCGCTATCTATGAATAGATAATGTTGGACAAAAACTCAAATTATTTTAGATAAAAATAACTCATAGTTCATTATGGCGGAAACAAACGTATATGTTTATAAAAAAGTTAATTAATGTATGAATATGTTTTCCAAAATACCATTTATTAAAATTGAAACATGAAGGAATACAAGAAATGTATAGCATCGAATCATTTCATCACTAACACTTCGGCCTCGTAGAAAGCAGGACTAAATACCGAGAAACGTTTCAACCCTTTTTAAGGTCTCTGTCACGTGATAGGTCAACGATTGTATGAGTGTTAGTATCAAATATGAAAGAATGCCAAGCGTTTTGGAAGGTCATTTGATAAATAGAAATGCTAGTGAAAAATTTAGAGAACCATGAATTATAACAATATTACCCAACTTAAAACAATATTCTAATAACTATCAATTTATTTTTAAAAAGTATCAGAAATTCAGCAGATATCGAGCAATTTGTTTCATGAAGTTGGGTAATCCCTAGAGGAAAACGTGATATAATAAAACGTAATTTATTTATTTTAACTGAAAACAGGCACTCACAATGTAAAGTATATTCTATAAATAGCGTTTTATTCTAATGACTGATGCTATGTAAATATAAAATTCTCGTTTTAATTTCACGGTTAATAAAAACCTAAAATCTATATATATATAAAAATGAATGTATGTATGTCTGTCCGTCTGTTTGTCCTTAGTGCATTACTAAACGATTCAACCGATCGCCATGAAACTTTGGGAAGTTGTTCCATACACTCCTGGGAAGGTTTCTGGCATAGTACTTCTGTCTTACGATAATTTTATATATGTAAAAAAAATAAAAATGCAAATGTTTTTCTGTTCAAAGCCGCAAAAAATGTTTCGCTATAAACTGTTGCGCCAAAACGGCTTTACCGATTTTAACGAAACTTGGCTAAAGTCTTCTCCTCAAAACCCTTTTAATTTATATGTATAACATACTTTCCCGAAAACAAGCTGAAAAATGTTACGATGAATTCCAATATTCTATTTGCCGATAACTAAAAAAGTACACAATTTTTGACCAATAATACCCACATTTATTTGAAAGATTCATGATTTGCCGACAAAATAAAAAAAAATCATCGAAATCGGACGGTTCATTGCAGAGTTATAGAGTTTTAAACATTTACTGCTTTCTCTCTAGAAAAGGTCGTTTCCTTTTGCTTCCTCCGGTGGGCAAACATTTTTTTTTTTTTACTTTTTATTGATTAATCGAAAATTTTATAATTACTACAGTAATTGAAATTATCATTTGAAGAAGTTATATGATTCTCCTTATGTAGGTCAATACTATTATTACGTTTTTTTATATTAATTTTTTTAATTTAGTTTTATAAGTTCAACTCAGACTGTTTCTGATGATTATGAATGACGGCGTGTTCGCTCAGATGATTATGAATGTTCAATTTGAACCATGAGAAAAAAAATCATTACAATTTGTTTAAATTGAAGCCATTTTACAGACAAATTTGTTTCCCAACTTTTTAAAAATGACAGATGTCCTTTGCTACTAATCTACACATATGTGTTTTCTATTTTCTTTCTTTTTCATTTTGCCAGGCTAAGCCACAGCATTGCGTGGCCGGGTAAAGCTAGTATAAAATAAATTAAAAAAACAATGATTGAGGTATGCAAAATATTATATAGGATTAATTCACAAAATCAGATCATGGCTTATATAACATTTTTTTAAGCTCTTGAGGTCTAATATCACATAAAAAATAGTTTCGCCAATTATAATTTAGAGAAGGAAGTAGCTCAATACAAAACCGATAATATACCTCACTAACTAACTTTTTTTATTTATATAAAGAATAAATTCCGTAAAATATACCAACTGACCAGAAACATGAAACATAAATATATCACTAACGAATTAAATATCTATGTGAAAATACGTTTGAACCGAGAGGGAGAAATCTCAGATGGCAGGAAACCTTTACGAATTGTCCCAGGGTAGAAAAAAATTTCTAGGAGATTCATAAAATTCGTATGAATCGACCCCACTATATTACACTAATCAAACTGACAAATAGCTTTGCCAATTCTAATTTAGAGAAAAGTATGAATGTGTTTAGAAGTTTTTATTTTATTTTGTTTGTTTATTTTTTTTTTCCTTTTTGATTTACATTTTTTATCAGTATTATTTATTTACTTTTTATATTTATAGTTGCAGCACTTACTAGACAAACGATCTAAGCTTTCAATCAATTATAAACGATTCGTATATATGACAATAATAAGACCTATTTGGACTTACGGAATTGAGCTTTGGGGCTCCACTAAACCATCGAATTCCTCTCGTATCCAATCCTTACAATCCAAAATCCTTCGTAAAATCCTCAACGCTCCTTACTTTGTCACAAATAAAATCATCCATAAAGACCTTAATGTTCCATATGTTTCCGATTTGGCCCAATCCAGATACCTGTCCTTCCATAACAAACTGCAGAACCATCCGAATCCTCTCGTTTCAAACCTTGCTTCCTCCTCGATCCCTGATAACCCTCCGAGGCGTCTGAAAACAAGATGGCCTCGGGATCTTCTAATATAGAACTTTAATTTGAGTTCTACCAATGGGTAGTTTCTCTTCATGTTGTACATGTCATGTTACCAATTTCACATTTACTTATTGTATTTTCTATGTAATACAGTTGTAAATTCCATTAAAATAATAAAATTTAAAAAATATTTATAGTTATTTGTTTATTATTTGTATATACTGTATGAATGAGAACTTCTAGCCCTAATACTTATAGCCCTCTAACAGTGGCTGATTGTATAAGTATTCAATAAAATAAAATAAAAATAAATAAAATTTAGAGAAGGCAGAAGCTACGGCTAATTATTTCTCATCAGTTTCGAATATTTCGGCTAATTTAGACACCATCAATCATAATAGAATAATAAAAAAATCTGTAAATAGCTTCTTAAAAAAACTGGTCCCGAACACATTTCCCTCAATCTCATTCAAAGAGGTGAATCACGCTATAAAACTGGTAAAAACTAAAAAACCGGGTCCTGATGCCATACCCCTTATCGCTTCAAATATTTCCCATCATGGAAAACAGCAAAAATTATTATCATTCCAAAACCAAATAAAGACCCAGCAGATGTTGGAAACTACAGACCAATTAGCCTTCTTGCTATAATATCAACAAATTTTGAAAAAATGCTCTCAAAAAGGATATTGAGTCATAGCAATTTGGTTTCAGAAAAAATCACTCAACAGTAGCCCAATTAGCCAGACTGACCGACTATATTATATCAAAGCGTTCAATGAAAAGAAGTACGTCGGTATGATTCTCCTAGACATAGAAAAAGCATTCGACATAGTATGGAAATCGGGCATTATCCATAATCTCATCTCCCCAT